AACTTCAAACAGCTCTAAATTCATCCCAACTGTTGGCTGCTGAGTAACCTGCAGTTTGGACAGACTGCCAAAGTCCAAGAGCTTCAGGGTTTTCTTAGCATCAGGATCCACTTCAGTGATTTCCTAGTCTAGGGCTGAGATCTCAGGCACGTAATTCTCTCTCCCCTCTCCCGCCTTCTGCAGCTGGATGGAGATACCCCTCACTGGGCCTCTCTGAATCCACTTCATCAGATGTGCAACTCGACCTTTGATCTTGTTGCTGAGCTTCCTGCCAGAATCAGGGCTATCTCCTTGCCTACATGCTTGTTGGTGTGGAAGTAAGTTGCTGCCCAGGCTGGTGTAGACTTCTTGGTGATGACCGGGGGCTGCCTTCTTCACGGTTTTGGTGAGATCTCGGCCCACATTGGTAGGTCCTTGGTAAAAGTGGGAGTTTAAAAAAAAAAAAAGCCCTGTTGTACATTATATGTGGGGGCTTCCCTCGTGGCCCAGTAGTAAAGACTCTGCCAGCAATGCAAGAGATCCAGGTTCAATCCCTGTTTTGAGAAGATCCCCTGGAGAAGGAAATGGCAACCTACTCTTGTCTGGGAAATCCCCTGGACAGAGGAGCCAGCGGGCTACAGGCCATGGGGTTGCAAAGAGTCTGACACAACTGAACATGCACACATTGCATGCACTTTTTTTTTTTCATTTATTTTTATTAGTAGGAGGCTAATTACTTTACAATATTGTAGTGGTTTTTGCCATACATTGACATGAATCAGCCATGGATTTACATGTGTTCCCCATCCTGAACCCCTCCCAACCTCCCTCTCCAACCCATCCCTCTGGGTCATCCCAGTGCACCAGCCCTGAGCACTTGTCTCATGCATCCAACCTNAGAGTCCCTTGGACTGCAAGGAGATCCAACCAGTCCATCCTAAAGGAGATCAGTCCTGGGTGTTCATTGGAAGGACTGATGCTGAAGCTGAAAATCCAGTACTTTGGCCACCTCATGCGAAGAGTGGACTCGTTGGAAAAGGCCCTGGTGCTGGGAGGGATTGGGGGCAGGAGGAGAAGGGGATGACAGAGGATGAGATGGCTGGATGGCATCACCGACTCGATGGACATGAGTTTGAGTAGACTCCGGGAGTTGGTGATGGACAGGGAGGCCTGGCGTGCTGCAGTCCGTGGGGTGACAAAGAGTCAGACACGACTGAGCGAGTGAACTGACTGACTGAAAGAGACAGAGGATGAGATGGTGGGATGGCATCACCCCACCATCTCAATGCACCCCAACTCAATGGACATGACTTTGAACAAACTCTGGGAGATGGTGAGGGACAGGGAAGCCTGGCGTGCTGCAGTCCGTGGGATTGCAAAGAGTTGGACATGACTTGGCAACTGAACAATAACAAAGAGACAGAAAGCTGGTCAGTGGTTGCCCTGCCTTGGGGAGAAGGGGATAGGAATGAGGGTTAAGGGGTGTGGGGTTTCCTTTTGGGTAATGGAATGTTCTCTAATTAGATAATGGTGTTTGTTGCAAACTTTGCGAATATACCAAAACTCATTGAATTGCACACTTTATTTATTTTTGGCATCACCACACTGCACACAGTTCCCCGACCAGGGATCAAACCTGGGTCCCCTGCAGGGAAGCGTGGAGTCTTCACCACTGGACCACCAGTGGGAAGTCTGAATTGTACACTCTAAAAGGGTAACTGTTATGGTATGTGAATATCTCAGTTTTTCGTTATGTGTTTTCTTTTTCAAATATCTCAACTTTTATGGTAAAATGAATGAATGGAGATCTACCAGACAAAGGCAGAAAGTAGAGATGGAAGGGATATACCAACCTCTCTTCCACCCCTGACTTCCCCGCCACAACCCGGAGCAGCCAGGGAGGCGAGAAGTTAGGGATGACGGAAGGGAAGTGGAGGATTTCATGAGACAGGGAGTGGAATCTGGATTGAAGCAGAGACCCTGGAGTGGTCAGAGTGCTTGGGAGTCTGGTGGTGGGACTGACGGTCTTGTGGACACAGAGGTTCAGGCTCAGAGATGCTCTCTATCCCCAGACACACATGCTGAGGTCTCAGGGCTCATTGCTCCCGCCCCCCACTCTTCCCCTTGTGACCTCTCTGCCCCCCACCCCTCACCCACAGTTGTTTTTGAGCCACCCCTGAGGTCCACCCTGAACGACCTTCAGCCTGTTCCTGCCTTGGATGCCAGAGATGGGCAAACATTGCAAGCAGGGAACAGCTCATGCAGACCTTGGAGCCCGGGCAGGGTCAGAGACCTTCCCCTCAGGCCCACCCACCCCTGGCCCTGCTTCCATCTGTCTCTTGCCCTCTGGAATTGGGGTGGGGGAAGTGAAGGCAGAGGTTGTTTCTGGCTTGGTTAGGCAGAGTGAAAAGGCTGGCTTCAAATTTACCACTTGCTGGCTGGGGAGCCCAACCCCCACAGCTTCAGTTTCCTCATCTGTAAAACCAGGATGAAAAAGATGCCCACTTCGCAGCACTGAAGTTGATTTAGTGAGTTAATGCGCTAAAGCCCTGATGGGTAGCGAGCATCAGGAAATGCAAGCTTAATAATTAGCAGCAGGGTTGTCAGCAGGGCTCTGCAGTGTGTCTGGCGTTGTTAGGGTAAGTTATTTAAACGATCTACTTTACTCTCCTGCGTAAGCACATAGTCCATGACTTTGGTTCGTGGATGAAGAAACAGGCCCAGAGACATTAAGCAACAAACACCAGGTCACACAGCAGGAAGGAGGTGGAGCCAGACTCTGAACCCAACACCCCACTGCATCCCCTAACACAGGGCAAGGTGGGTTTTTTTCTTTTTCTTTTTTTTTAATCATGGTAAAACATGTGACATCAAGTTTACCATTTGAACCATTTTTTAGGTGTACGGTTCAGTGGATTTAAGTAAACACACAATCTTATGCAACCATGATCACTATCCATTTCCAGAATGTTTTCATCATCCCAGTCGGAAACTGCAGGAGATTTTATTTCACTTATGATTGTCAGTGGCTCAGAGGGTGAAGAATCTGCCTGCAGTGCAGGAGACCAGGGTTCGATCCCTGGGTCGGGAAGATCCCCTGAAGGAGGGAATGGCTACCCACTCCAGTATTCTTGCCTGGGAAAATCCCATGGACAGAGGAGCCTGGCAGGCTACAGTCCATGGGGTTGCAAAGAGTTGGACACAACTGAACAACTAACACACATTGTTAGTGAGGAACTCTAGGGAGCATTCATTGAGCACCTACTGTATGCCAGAGCCCACACAAGGCCCACTGGAATGGACGGCGTTCTGGAAGGCCTCCTGATCAGTTCTGTACAGTGATTCAGGTTGTGGCCAAAGTTCAATTGTCAGACTGCATGTGTGCTTAGTCACTCAGTCGTGTCTGACTCTGCTATCCCTTGGACTGTAGCCCGCCAGGCTCCTCCGTCCATGGGATTCTCTAGGCAAGAACACTGGAGTGGGTTGCCATTTCCTCCTCCAGGGATTGTTGGAATCTCCACATAAAAACACAGGATGCCTGGTTAGATTTGGGTTTCAGATACACAACCAATAAATTTTAATATACTTCCCAAATACTGCGTGGGACATATTTATACGAAAAAAAAGATTCATTATTTCCCTGAAATTCAAATGTCACTGGACGTCCTATATTTTATCTGGCACCCTTAGACCAAAGAATCCAGCCCGTGGTTTCTTGGCTACATTGTGCATCCTGGCTCACAACTCAGTCTTCTGGGAGAAAAAGGCTCATTTTCTTTCTGTCTGGTGTTTGACCGAAGCCTAATGTTGACAACCTCCCACGAAGCTCTCCCTCACAGGGCCTCATTTGGCTTTCATGCAGACCCTGGGAGGCAGACACTTACTGCTATCCCCATTTTACAGATGGAAATGTCAGGCAAATGTATGCTCCTCGGTTCTATCTCATAACAACAAAGATTTGGAGTGACGGACATTAAAGTCCTTGGCGCATCACAGCTCTCGGGTCTTAGACAGTGTTATATAACTCTTAGACAAATCAGTGTTACAGCTCTGTGTTACAACTCTATTTTATTTAGAAAATAGCAGGAGAATCCATCCTCGAGGCGTGAGGGCATGCCAACCCAAAGACAGAAGAGAAGAGAGTGGGGGAGCAGGCCAGCGTGCGGGAGAGAGAAATAGAGAGGGCCCTTTGGCTCCTCTTTTTATATGTTTTTTTCCTCCCCCGGGCCTGCCCTATGTAAACTGGGCTAGCCAGGAGTGCTGTTTGTACTACCTGAGGTCCTCACTCTGGTCCTCGGACCATCCCTTGACCTTCCTTTGTTCTATTTTCTCAGACTTTTCCCTTCCTTGTCTTTTAGCCACCACCATTTTGGACTCCTGTTTCCTATTCTAACTACCTAACAGAAACATTGAGCCCAGAGAAAGGAATATATTCACCCTGGTCAAGCGGTGAAGGTGTGTCTGGCCCTGTAGCCCAGTGGCCAAGGGATCTCAGAGACAAAAGAAAGAATAGGCAACTCTGATCTGTGAGCACCTATGTTGCCAGCTTCCACACTAAGAATTTCCCTTAGGATGTCTCCGGGGATTCAGTGGTTAAGACTCCGAACTTCCAATGCAGAAGGTGTGGGTAGGATCCCTGGTCCGGGAACTAATATCCCACATGCCACAGTGTGCAACCAAATAAAATAAAAATTTTAATTTTACAAACTTAAAATATCTAATTTCCCTTGTTATCGCATCATTTAATTTACATCCTGAAGTATGGATTGTGGGCCCATTTTACGGAGGAGGAAACTGAGGCCCAAAAGAGGGGTGGAAGAGGTCACAAGAGGTGAAGCCAGGATTTGAACCCAGTTCAGCACAGGAGGGCAAAGAGACTTCTGTCTTCCCCTGTCAGGTTAGGGTGGTGGGAGGGCAGGAAGGAGGCCAACAGGGGCGGGCATGGCCTCTGACTCTCATCGTCACCTGGGCCCCTCTCTCTCTGAAGTCCCTGCCAAGGGGCGTGGGGAGGCGGCCAGGGGAGGACTCTGCTCAGGGCCACTTGCCCCTCCCCCAGCCCGGAGAGCTGAGCACAGAGGGACAGAGGCCCCCAGAAATGTCGTTCCCTGGACGCAGGCCCCAGGCCCTGGCCTCCCTCTGCTTCTGCGTTCTGGTCCTGGCCTGTGTTGTGGGTGAGGAAGAGCCGGGGGTGGGGTGTGGGGACCCCACAGCAGCTGGGGTGTGAGTGTGAGCGACTGCGAGGCGTGCAGATCTGTGTGCGTGTCTGGGAGTCTGGGTCGGGGGTGGCCGTGTTTGAAAAGTGTGTGCACAGGGTTGGTACAGATGACACTGGTCATGAATTTTGCACTTGTGTCTGTGTCAGCAAAAGAGTGTGCAGGAGAGGTAAACGTGTGTGTGTGAACATTTGTATGCTTGTGGGCACGTGTGTGTCTTTAGTGGGTATTTATGCAAAAGATTTGAGGGTTAGTGGGTGGGAGAGTGTCTGTGTGTACTGCTGTGTCTGTCTGGGTTCTGCATGTGCAGTTCTTTAAGTTTTGTGGCTTTGGCTGTGCCATGAGGTATGTGGGATCTTAGTTCCCTGACCAGGGATGGAACCCGTGCCCCCTGTATTGGAAACACAGGGTCTTAACCACTGGACAAAGCAAGGAAGTCCCTCCGCACATGCATTTAAAATATCACTATGTACACAGTGCCTCCAATGTGCCTGAAACTGGTTCTCCGTGTTAACCCTGAACTCTCACAATAGCCCTATAAGCTAGGTCCTGTCCTGAGTCCATTCTACAGAAGGGGAAGCTGAGTCTTGAAGAGGTTAAGTCGTTGGCCAAGGGCACCCCACTGACCACATGGGTGTTTCCATACATGCCTGTAAACATGTACCCGGCTGGTCTCTGTAGGTGAGGCTTTGCCCAGGTGCGGGGGTGCCAGACAGACAGGTGTTCCTGGTGGAACCCCTTGCCCACCAGCCTGACACACGGCTTTGCCAACCTCTGTCCATGGGGCCATCCCTCACTGCCCACGGAGGTCGTTCAGACTGTGTGGGTGGGGTCACAGGAGAATAGAGGAGGCAGCAAGATCAGCTAGCGAGGGAGGCATGGCGGGGCAAGGGTTACAGGCTGCAGGAGGGGACGACTGGCAGATGCAGGGCTGATGGGGGTCCCAGGCACAGCGGGTGAAAGGAGATGACCTGTGGCTGAAGGGGTCCGAGGGGTCAGAGGAACATAGAAGGCAGTGAGCGGACACCAGGAGTGACAGCGACCGCGAGCATGGAGGGAAAGCGAGAGGGACAGGCTCAGGGGCCCGGTCGTCCACGTTGTCCTCTGGTCCCACCTAGCATGCCAGCAAGAAGAGCCTGAGGGGACCCTGAGCCCCCCTGCTAGGGGGCCTGGATCCTGGGTCTGACCGAGGAGGGTCTGGGGGAGGAGGGACTGTGCCCAAACTCCAGGATTCCCAGGAGCAGGAATCCCAGGAGAGGAATCCCAGGAGCCCTGGGTGGAGCAGGGCTGTGACGCTGGGTCTGAGAAGGGTGGAGGGTTAGTGTTGAGAGCAGGGGCTCCTGGGTCAAAGGGAGGAATGGGTGAACACAGCAGAAGTCTTGGGGGCTATCTGCGGTCTCCACTGTGAATCCCCTCCCTTCCAGGGGCCCCACGGCCTTCCGGGGCTTCGTGGAGACCTACTACGATGACCACCTGAAGGACCTGGGCACTCGCGCCCAGGCCTGGCTCCGCAGTTCCAAGGATAGCCTCCTGAACAAGGCTCACAGTCTGTGTCCCCGGCTGCTCTGCAGGCCCAGTGACCAAAATTAAAGCGTCACACCCTCTGCAATAAACAAGTTCTGTGTGTGTCCCTGTCCCAGTCCCTCCTGGCCTCGCCAGAGATAACCCCCCATCCCCCTCCAGAGGTTAAGGGGTGGAGGAAGTGACACGTGGCAAGGGAGCAACAGGAGGTGGGGGTGGGGAGGGGAAGGACTGGGAGGCCCGGAGGGATGACCCCACCCCGCCCCCAGTGCTAGACCCACCACTGCCAGCTTATGGGGGGCAGAGGACTCCAGGCTTCTCTGTTTAGGGTGGAGGGTGAAGGCTGGAGAGCAGTTAGCAAGCCCCCCACCCTGCCAGCCACCCCTCCTTCAAAGCTCTACCTTCCCCTCCCACGTGATGGAGACCCCAGATCTGATGCCTGGTGGGCACCCAGGACCCCTGATCCCTCCACAGCCCCCCATTCAACCTGTCTCCCTCTCTATCCCACGCCACCTCCCCCCATCTTTCCCCCTCCCACCCCTGCAGTCCTGTTGGCCAGGACTTTGGCCGAGGTGTCGAAGTGGGGGTGGAGGGGTGGATCTCAAGAGCTATAAAGCCTTTCTCTGCCCATTTGGAGCTGCTGAGGACAGACGCCAGAGTCTGGTAAGAGAGGGGACAGAAATGGGGGGCAGGGGACTGCAGGAACGGGCCAAGATTGTTAAATCAGAAACTGCAAAAGTCAAGATATTAGATTCCAGGGAACTCCCTGGCTGTCCACTGGTTAAGATTCCGAGCACCCAGTGCAGGGGGCACGAGTTCGATCCCTGGTTGGGGAACAAAGATCCCACATGCTGCTTGGCTCAGCCTTAAAAAAAAAAAAAAAATTAGTTCCAGTTTTAGAATCATGGAACTTAGGGAATTGTCTGGTGGTCCAGTGGTTAGGACTGGGCACCTTCATAGTTGGGGGCCTGGGTTCTGGGCCGGGTGTGAGAACTTAAATCTTGCGAGCTTAGCATGTGGCATGCTGGGGTTAAAAAAAAAAGAGAAGAAGAATCATGGAATTTAAAAACTGAAGAATGTCTGTCTGTGCTGATCCACCTCCTGTCAGATGTCAACCTCCACGTCGCAGTCTCCGAAACGTGGAGGGTGATGTGATGGGTGGAGGGTGATGTGATGGACTGAGCCCTGTGTCCCCGAGAGTGACTCCCTCCCAGGGCTGGGATCAAGATGACTTTGGAATGTGGGTAGAGCAGGGCCCAGAGCAGAGGAAACTCACTCATCCAAGTGGTGGTTCTTAACCGAGCCTGTGGCACGTGGCCCTGTACTGACTGGGTCTTAACATAAATGCCACCCCACTGCTGAGGATTTCCAGGGCTACACAGCACACCCTCTGCATTCCAGAGCCCTTATCTGAGGGAGACAGGCGCTATACTTCATTCATTTGATGTTTGCTGCTTGCATTTCTCTCTCATGTTGGCTTCCTGAGGGCAAGGGCCACTGTGTTCACGGCTGGGCCCAGAACTGCGCCTGGCACACAGTAGGTGAAGAAACGCTTCTTGAATGAATGAGTGTTAGAATTAAGATGTTGCAGGGAATTCTCTGGCTGTCCAGTGGTTAGGATTTGGCACTTTCACTGCTGGGCCTGGGTTCAGTCCCTAGTCGGGGAACTAAGACCCCATAAGCCATGCAGCGCAACGAAAAAAAAAAAAAAAAAGAATTAAGATGTTACAATCAGCAAGCAGGAGTAGCATCATAGAATATTAGGAAGTGAGGCTCAAGTCATTAGGAGCTTGACTCAGGCAGGAGGAAGGGGAGAGGGGGTCCTAGGCCAGTATCCCTGAGGCCCGGAGACCCCAGGACCAGATGCCTCCCCTGGCCCTGCCCCTACCTGCCTCAGTGTTCCAGGTCTCCTGACGCCATGGGCACGAGATACTTCCTGGTCGGGTTTCTCATCCTCCTGGTGTTGAGGTTCGGTGAGTGGGGTTGAGTGGGGTCGGAAGGGGAGGTGGGGATGTCAGGAGGGGGAGGAGCCCCGAGCATCCTCCTGGTCCGTTCTTGTCCCGCCCTGCCCCCTGCCCATCCCTCTCCTTCCCCCTTTCACTCTCCTCCTGCAGGGGCCCAAGGGGCCCATGTTCCCCAGCAAGACGAGGCCTCCAGCCCTGCCCTGCTCACCCAGGTGCAGGAGTCCCTCTTAGGTTACTGGGATACAGCCAAGGCAGCCGCCCACAAGCTGTACAAGAAGACATACCTGCCCATCGTGGATGAGAAAATCAGGTATCACCCGCCTCCCACCCACACCCCCGGAGTCCAGAGTCCCAGACCCCAGCCCCTTCTCCCTCACACTCAGGAGTCCAGGTTCAAACCTGTTATCTCTCAAGGCCCAGGTATCTCAGCTCCCAATACCTAGCTCTGGGATTCTGGGATCCCATCCCTGTCCTACTTAGGGATCCACGGCTTTGGGTTCTAGTCACCTTTTCCAATAGGACCCGTGATTCTGGGCCCCCAGCCTCTCCTCCCCCAGACCCAGGAGTCCAGATGCCCAGCCACCCATCCCTCAGACCCAGGAGTCCAGACCCCCAGCCCCTCCTCCCTCAGTCCTTCTGTCCTTTCTCCCCAGGGACATATATAGCAAAAGCACGGCCGCTGTGACCACCTATGCAGGGATTATCACTGACCAGGTCTTTTCTATGCTGTCAGGAGAAGATTGACAGCTGGGCCCCCAATCACGGGGGAGTCCAGGCTCCAGCAGCCCGCTGGGTCCCCTGATCTACACCCCTCCCCACTTCCTTGCAACTCTCAGCATCCTGTTCCCAATTCTAGCCTGACTTATCAATAATAATAATAAAGCCAAGTTTATTCTTTTTGATATCGTCACTTTTCTGAGACCTCAGGGTCCACGATGGAGGAGCTGATGCCTGCCAGCCAACACTTATTGATCACCTATTCTATGTATATCTCCCTAACCTGGTCAGTGAGAATAAAGAGGTGAATAATAATAATGAATAATCATAACAACAATAATTAGAGACTGACCTTCACCAAGGTCTGGCTTTCTCATCCATTTTTTTGGTCATGCCATGTGGCACGTGGAATCTAGTTCCCTGACCAGGGATCGAACCTGTGTCACCTGCTGCGGAAGCACAGAGCCTGAACCAGTGCACCAACAGGGAAGTCCTAGATTTCTCATTTGTAAAATGATAAATGAATCAGTTCAGTCGCTCAGTACATCTGACTCTGCGACCCCATGGACTGCAGCACACCAGGCCTCCCTGTCCACTGCCAACTCCTGGAGTTTACTCAAACTCACATCCATTGAGTCAGTGATGCCATCCAACCATCTCATCCTCTGTCATCTCCTTCTCCTCCTGCCTTCAATCTTTCCCAGCATCAGGTAAATGAATACAGCTTACTTACTGTGGCCTCTGACTGTGTCTGGGGCCTGGACTGACACTTTTAAAAAATTTATTTAGTTTTAAGTGAAGGATAATTACTTTGCAATATTGTGTTGGTTTCTGCCATTCATCAACATGAATCACTGGGCTGACACTTGAATTTTTTTTTTTTTTTTTTTTAGTTCTACCAGTTTATTGCTACCAACCCATCTCCCTCCACCCTCGTGCACACATGCTCAGTCATGTAATCCCATGGACTTCAGCCCGCCAGACTCCTCTGTCCGTGGATTTTTCCAGGCAAGAATACTGGAGTGGGTTGCCATTTCCTTCTCCCGGGCTGACACTTTAAATATGCCATCGCAGAGAGGTGTCCAATGGCGCTGTGGCAGAGGGGAGAGTGGTGCCCACGAGTCATTGCTGAGTGTGGGAAGGCAGTGCCCAGGTTGGCTGGGACCCAAGAGGGCAGATCTGTAACAGCTGTGTTCTGTGCCAGTTCCTATACATTTGCCCCACCCCCGGTCATGTATTTATTGAGACACAACCAGGCCCTGGAGACACAGCAGGGAAAAAGACAGCCCTGCCTTCATCAGTTCAGTTTAGTCGTTCAGTCGTGTTCGACTCTTTGCAACCCCATGATCTGCAGCGTGCCAGGCTTATCTGTCCATTACCAACTCCCAGAGCTTGCTCAAATTCATACCCAACTTGGTGATGCCATCCAACCATCTCATCCTCTGTCGTCCCCTTCTCCTGCCTTCAATCTTTTCCCAGTATTAGGGACTTTTCTTTGCATCAGGTGGCCAAAATATTGGAGTTTCAGCTTCAGCATCAGTCCTTCCAATGAATATTCAGGACTGACTTCCTTTAGGATTGACTGGTTTGATCTCCTTGCCTTCACATGGCCCCTTAAAAAGGTACTGATTGGGTCCTGACCCAGCTTCATACGGTTTTACTGATTACAGCTTGGTAGTAAGCTTTTTTAGCTCTTCTTACTAGCAATAGTAATAATGTTTCCTGAGCTCCTATTCAGGACCAGAAGCTCTGTTCCATCCTGAGCCACAAATAGAGAGGCTGAGGGGGTGGGGTGGGAGGCAGAGAGGACCCATGGAGAAGATAACTTCAGACAGCAATGCAGGTGATGAAAAGGTGAAGAAGTGAGGAAAGAGTTCAAGAGCTAGGTGCAGCCACCTTGGATAGGGGTCACAGGGAGCGTACTGTAAAGGACACAGCTGGGCTGGTCACAGGGTATGTGGAGTCACAACGAAGTGTGGTAAGGACAATTGCTGATGGAAAGTAGGGGGAGGGGAGGGGAGTATCCACTTGGCTTCTAGGTCTGAGAGGATGGAAGAGGGTATCTGGGCAGTGGGGAATTACCGGCCAAAAGCACAGGGGGTGAATTAAGAGCAGAGGGCCTGCAGTCTGAGGGAGGATAGTGCTGGGGCCCATGGGCGGAGGGGGTGAAGGGCCTGGACTCCTGCATCTGGAAGGAGTAGAGAGTGGGTCCTGTGCTCCCAAGTCCCATGGGTCGGGCTACAGGCCTCTGAGGATGCAGGGCCTGTAGTCTGCTAACAGACTTGACATTAACTTCCGGCCAGCCTTTTCAGCTCTCTTGGGGCAGTTTTCCCAGTCCTGGGGCTGGGCAGCTGTGAGTCCAGCAGAAAACAGGGGCCCAGGGGTTGTGGGAAATGCCCCCAAAGTCCCCAGGGCCTGGGAAGAACTGAAGCTGCCAAGCCCAATGGGTGATGGGGCAGGGGGGGACCCTGGATGAACAATCCCTGCTCTGTCCACTTGTTTCCCACAGACTCAAGCCAAACCAAACCACTGCCCAGGCTAGTTCTGCTTCCAACCAATCCTGGAGTACTTCCCAGACTCCTCCTTCCTTTCTCAGGCACCCACCCCCCAGCCCATTCCCTTCAGGACCCCAGGAGTCGAGCCCCCCAAACTCCTCCTCTCCCAGAATTCAGGACCCTCAATCCATTCTCCTTGGGGACCCAGAAGTTCAGGTCCCCAGCCCCCTTAGAAGCTGAAATCTTAGCCTCTGGTTGGTGTCGGGCGTCCCCTAGTGGAGCACAGAATGGGTCTGATCGGTGATTCATTTAACAGGAATGGAAGTATTTACTTGGTCATTCAGTGGACGTGGGGGAGGGCTTTACAAGAACCCCATCTGAGGTCGCAGTGTGGCTCAGAGCCCCTGGTGTTGCAACAGATCAGGACTCTGCAGTTTATTAGGATGTTGGGGCATCTAGTGCTGAAAGCAGAGATGGGGTAACAGTGAAACTGGAGAAGATGAAGCTTCAAGGCCCCTCACTTGCCTGGGCTTTCTTTGGTCCTCCATTTAAATTTGTACACATGATTTTGCACTTTTAAAAAAAGAAGTTCACAGGTACTTCCCTGGTGGCCCAGTGGTTAAGAATTTGTCTTCCAACGCAGGGGACATGCATTCAATTGCTAGTGGGGGAACTAAGATCCCACATGCCTCAGGGCAACTAAGCCCATGCGCCACAAACTAGAGAGAAGCCCATGCCACAGTGAAGATCCCATAATTTTAAGACTCATAATTTTTTTAAAAAGCCCACAAAATCTCCATCTGCCCATCTTCTGGGAGACTTCATCAGTATACTCATTCCATCTCTAGACTTGAAGACTAGGCCTCCGGTTTCACAGAATCGCTACTATCGTTAGTATCTGTACTAGAAGGGGACAAGGCAAGAAGTTTTCTAAGGTTTCTCCTTCTCCTTGTGTAGGTTCACAGAGGTAAGTCATTCACCTTCTGCACTCAAGAGTTTCATCCTTTCACTCAGCAGTCATGCCCTGGGACAGAGCTGAAAACACATGACCATGCGGTGACCATGATCAAGACACACCCATCTCTGTCAGTGATGACACAAAGTGGGCAGGGACGGGGTGGGGAGTCCAGGGATCCAGGAGGTCTGGGAGGCCGTGCCCTGCCCAGTCTGGGAGCTCAGGAGGGTTTCCTGGAGGACGGATAATACTTTAGAGCTGAGGCCTCGAGGAAAGTGGAGCATGTAGTTAGTAAAACGTTAAATAAATATTTAAAATATCTCAATGCAAAGCCTGCTCTCCTTTCCAGACCATATGTAAAGTTCATAACCACAGTGCTTGATACTGATCACTAAGGCCCACACTAAGTGAGGACGGGGGCCAGGTGCTTTACATTCTTTTGCAGAGGGAAAAAATGAAGCCCAGATAGGTCACTTGTCCACAATCATTTAGCCGCTCCGCAGCACAGCTAGGGTTTGAACCCAGGTCAGACTTCCACCCAATTCACTGGTGAAGGTTTCACAACTGCTAAGTCTTCTGTCCTCTCTGGGCCTCTATTACTCCTTCCTTGGGTCAAGGGTCTCTCAACACGTATCCGGAACTGTAGCAAGTTATTGAAAAAGCATGGAGCTCTTTGAGCCCTTGAAGTGGAGTCCACAGCGGCAGGCTTCGCTGGAATGCAAAGACCACGAGGGCTGCGTGCCTGCGCATTAAACTAGGCAGCCCAAGGCTTAGGGAGGGGCGAGAGGGTCCAGTTAGGAAGTGTGGTGGCATGAGGATGCTGAAATAGTAACTAAACACAAAGGGCTATAACCTAGGGAGACTTGTCAGAGGAAAAGAAGAGAGATCAGAAAGCGAGGCCATCGACCAAGGGTCCTGCTCTCCGAGTCTTGGGTTCGGAGGCCAGGACAGTTCCTTTAACGCAGGAGAGGGGTGGTTCAAGCGGAGAGGTTTTATGCCTTTACCGTGGCCGGGAAAGCTCATGAAAGTTGAAATGAAAAGGATTTAAAGAATCCGCGGGGCTGAGCGGACAGAATGACCCAGGAGGCTCACACAACTGAAAGGGGCGGGGTTACGCGAGAGGGGCAGAAAGAAGGGAGGCTGTGGCAAGCGTACCTGTTCGCCAAGAAAGTCCTGGGAGCTCGGGGCACGCAAGGTGTCTACTGTTTGCTGTTGTTTAGGCTATTTCAAATCCTTAAAGGGGATGCTGTGAAAGTGCTGCACTCAATATGTCAGCAAATTTGGAAAACAGCAGTGGCCACAGGACTGGAAAAGGTCACTTTTCATTCCAATCCCAAAGAAAGTCAATGCCAAAGAATGCTCAAATTACCGCACAATTGCACTCATCTCACATGCTAGTAAAGGAATGCTCAAAATTCTTCAAGCCAGGTTTCAGCAANTGGTGATTGCAGCCATGAAATTAAAAGACGCTTACTCCTTGGAAGGAAAGTTATGACCAACCTAGACAGCATATTAAAAAGCAGAGACATTACTTTGTCAACAAAGATCCGTCTAGTCAAGGCTATGGTTTTTCCAATAGTCATGTATGGTTGCGAGAGTTGGACTGTGAAGAAAGCTGAGCGCAGAAGAATTGATGCTTTTGGAGAAGACTCTTGAAAATCCCCTGGGCTGCAAGGAGATCCAACCAGTCCATCCTAAAGGAGATCAGTCCTGGGTGTTCCTTGGAAGGACTGAT